GAGCGCACCGAGTCCGACTATTAGAGTCAGCAGTGTTCTCTACCGGTTGTCAGCAGTCGACACATACATTTTGGGGAGGGCGAAGTGAGAGAACTATCGTGAGAGACTGCTGGAGGAAGATCGTCCCTTCTATATGGCTTCATTAGAGTATTGATAGATCAGGTCTTCGAAAAAACTACCAGAAACTGAGATCTCGGAGCCCATTGTATCTAAAAACTCTCTAATCGCGTCCCGAATACTAATCTCCACTACAGTTTCTTCTCGTCCCGAGGAGGTTCCGGCCACTCTATGGCCCGTCTTTAAGGTTACCGTGACTTTGGACGATTCTGTGACGTCTCTGAATACCCATGGTGAGATCCAAACTGTACCATACATATATCACGTACGTGCTGTTGGACAAGTTCCATGTTGAAGGGCTAGTCTTCGTGAGAGCAATATCGGCGTTATCTACGCGTAGTTTGACGCGATAGCTCGCTTTGATCGGCGTATTGATACTGATTTCTGAGAATAATATTCGTTGAGGAATGCAATCGAAAGAGGTGGAGATACTGACGATGAATATATAGGAATCTAGGGGGAGTTTAGCGCAAAGAGTCACGAATAACGCTTTGATAATTACCCTTTACTGTCATCCGCGTCCTGAGAGTCCATGGTAACGGTTCAAAAGTAATCACTGGTCGCTAATTTCGAAAGGCGAGTGTGGTGGTTGGTTGCAAAAGAGTAAAGCGAGACTGGCCATTCGCTTCCTGATTTGCGCATGCATAGCCACACGCCGAATGCGATCCTAATCCCGACGCGAACCATCTACACCAGCGCATGCCTTAAAAATGGCGAAAAACATTGGGTCCAATTCCATCCAACTTCACCACCGATGTACGAGCTATTGGGCACTTCTGCCCTTGATCCAGCGCTGGACGGAGTACGGTATCTACCTGGCGCTTCGACCCTGTACTGTGGAAGGGATGGTTATATAATCACCTCGAATACGAGTAAAGATGGTAAGCCAGTCTGTTCTCACTTGACTACTCTACTTACTCGGTTAGACGTTGGACGCTGATTCGCTTTACACTATCTACCGTAGTCACAGTTCCTATGTAGAGGATTTTACGGGCGTCGAGTCCGACCTGAAATATTTCGCCGTAGACTCGGCTCACTTCAAGGCGAGAAGACTGGGAGTAACAGATTTCGACCTAGAAGACGACGGATACTCATACGAACGTTGATGGTACATGCACCTCATCAGCTTGGCTCAATGTCCCACTCGAGCGTCGCCTTCAAATCCTTCTTCGCAGCATCCAACCCGCCTGACCCTTGCTGTTGCCCGATATTCTAACTCGGCCGCTGGCTTTCCCCAGGCCTCAAAGCCTTTGCTCGCACCATCACCGAACACGAATCCCAGACCTCTCCCTTCTCCCTAGCCAAGCTGAATATCCCATTAGTACCTCTCGAGTCCCTCTTTGTCGATGGGCTGCTTTGCTCTCCGCTTCGTCACGCCAAGATGCCTCGAATTGAATCTCGATCGCCCATCTTAAACTTCGCCTCCAAATTCAATCTGTGGCCGTTCTTTTGAGCTCGATATGCAACACTGCCAAGTGCATTGTGCTTATTTACGTGAGAAAACTCGCGCTCAACGTCGGCATATCAGACAAATCCCTCTTCTCCGACCTTTTCTCGTGCTTCTTGCTCATCTTGACATAGTTCATCTCCTCATCCGCGTCCTGAGAGT